ACCCATGCATGTGCCCTGACTGGGAATCGAACTGTGACCAAGCATGAAGCAGAGGACAGCTGGGTGACATATTTATCTTCCATGGCACCTCTCCCCACTTGACATGCTCCCCGTCCCCCTGCCCCCGCTTGAGCAGGGCTTTAGTTCTGTCCCTGTGAAGTAGGACCCCTTCTTCACAGAAAAGAAAATCATGTGGATCACATGAATGGGGAAATCATGTGGATCACATGAATGGGGCACTGAATCCCAATAACCATCATGTGCATGGGCTCCCCTTGCTTTACCATTGACCCAAGATTTTATTTTATTTTAACATTTTTATTGACTTCAGAGAGAGGAAGGGAGAAGGAGAGAGAGATAGAAATATCAATGATGAGAGAGAATCATGGATCGGCTGCCTCCTGCACACCTCCTACTGGCGATTAAGCCCCCAACCTGGCCATGTGCCCTGACTGGGAATCCAACTGGACCTCCTGGATCGGATCATAGATTGATATTCAAGCACTGAGCCACACCAGCTGGGCTTGACCCAAGATTTTAAAATGCCCTTTCTTCCTTACCTCATTTCTGAGGACTGTCTGAGCCATTGGTAGAAAATTCTAGAAAATGCAAATCTATAGTGACAGAAGAGCAGCATTTACAGGGATGGTTGGAAGGGAGGGCTTACAAAGGGCATGAGGCACTTGGCAATGATGGTAGTGCTCACTATCTTAATTGTGGTGATGTTTGCGCGCGCGCGTGCATGTGTGTGTGTGTGTGTGTGTGTGTGTGTGTGTGTGTGTGTATAACATCAAAACTTTGTAAATTACATGCTCTAAATATGTACAGTTGATTGTATGGCAGTTATTCCTCAGTAAAGCTTTAAAAACAAAAAAATAGCCTGGCCAGCATGGCTCAGTGGTTGAGCATCAGCCTATGAACCAGGAGATCACAGTTCCATCCCTGGTCAGGGCACGTGCCTGGGTTGTGGACTCGATCCCCAGTGCGGGGCGTGCCGGAGGCAGCCGATCAATGATTCTCGTCGTTGATAGTTTCTCTTTCTCTCTCCTTCTCCCTTCATCTCTGAAATCAATTAAAAATACATAGAAAATAAATAAAACCAAGAAATACATGTGTACACACACACACACACCCCAAAGGACAAAAAGCAGGTGAGAGCACTTAGCCCGGCCCGGGGCTGAGTGGGTCTTTCCTTCCTTCTCTCTCAGGTCCCTGGCGGGTAAGACAGTGTAGTGTGCTGATACTTGCTCAGTGCCTTTCCTCGGCTGGTAAATGGGAATAAAGAGTGCCTGCCTCCCGGGGTCGTTGCCTTGGCACTGGATCCCCTGGGATCTCATTTGGGTGGGGGTGGAGGGTGGAGTTGCTGCCATCAAGCCATTAGGTCGGTTGTTAACATGTTGAAATTGTCTGGAGAAGGCCTTACTCCTCCTGGACATGTCACAGTTAATATCCAGTGACAGAAGAAGGTCCAATATTATTCGGAGCGTCTCCTGACGTAAAAGAAATGGACAGATTTGGTCCCTTTGCTCAGGAGTCAAGCCGAAGGAGGAAAGACTGAGAAGCTGGGGCTTGGGGTTGGCTTTCGGGTGTTACAGGCATCCCTCCTCTTAATAGTGGGATCTGCCTCTTCCTCATGCTTGCTTTGAACAGTGGAAATGAAAAGGACTCCATAGAGAATACCATTTTGATTACTGCTAGACGTGGGCCAGCCAGGTTAATTAGTCCAGAGGTGGGTGGGTGGGAGAATATTTTCAGTTGTCGTCCCTGCTGCTCTTTTTCAAGCAGGATTTCAGAGGTTCCTGAGAGGCCTGCTTTCCCTGGGAAAGCATGGCAGGGCAGATGGGTTAGGCTTCAGCCCAGCATGTGAGCACCACCCACCCACTCAGCAGCTTTGGGGAGGGAGGAGGAGGAGGGGAGAGGAGAGATAAGACACTTGATCAGGCACTTGATCGGTGCCTGAACTCTGTTCAGGTGTGTGCAAGTCCCTCCTGGTTCCTCAAGAGGGCGCTCTGGGACAGCTGATTCCAACCTGGGGCCTTTGTTAAAATTTTGGATTTGAATGAACAGGTCCAGGGTGGGGCCTGGGATTCGGATTTTCTCACAAACCCCCAGGTGATGTCCATGCTGCTGGTCCTTGGACCACACGCTGAGTAGTGAGAACCTCAGATAGGAACTTGGATTAAATCAATGAAGCCCCAAACCACACCAACATCGCTTAGCACGTGAGTTTGTTACAAATAAGAATCGAGGCTTTACCTCAGACCTATCAAATCAATTTCCAGGGGCCATTGCCCAAGTTGGGTCCCAAAGGACTAATCTGTTTTTCCAAGTCAGGTGTGAGAACTGACCCTCCTTTCCCATCACCCAACAGCCTTACCAACATACAGGCAGCTCACATGGGCACCCAGGCGCACACCACGCTCAGACTACTAAAAAGACCGTGGAGGTGAAGGCCTCTCATGTTTCCCTTTTTGTGCAGGTGTCCCAGGGCAGAAAGGTCTTGGGGGTGTTATGGGGGTGGGATGGTACGGCTTATCCAGGGAGGCTCAGCTGGGAGCACACCATTTATTGGGCCAGTTACATGTGATTGGAGTGTACTGCTGTGTCCTTGCTAGAATTTTATTTTTGAATATTTTTTTATTGATTCATCAGAGAGGAAGGAAGAGGGAGAGAAAGACAGAAACATCGATTATGAGAGAGAATCATTGATTGGCTGCCTTCCTGCACACTCCCTACTGGGGATCAAACCTGCAACCTGGGCATGTGCCTTTGACCGGAATTGAACCTGGGACCTTTCAGTCCGCAGGCCGATGCTCTGTCCACTGAGCCAAACCGGCTAGGGCCTTGCTAGAATTTTTACAAATTAAGGCATTTTGGCCTGGCCGATGTGGTTCAGTGGTTGAGCATCGACCTATGAACTGGGAGGTGACGTTGCGATTCCCAGTCAGGTCACATGTCCAGGTTGTGGGCTCAATTCCCAGTGCAGGAGGCAACCAATCAATGGTTCTCTCTCATCATTGATGCTTCTATCTCTCCCTCTCCCTTCCTCTCTGAAATCAATTTAAAAAATTAAAAAAAAAACACACAAATTAAGGCATTGTGTAGCCACAATACAATTTATTCAGGCAAGAATCATTCTTGGATGGTAAAACCATTAGAGAAAGGTTGGTGGAGAACAGGATCTTCACAGGGTCTCCAGGCATTACCTCAAATTTCTTGTGAATTAGGCAGGGAAAATGCAACTTTGCCACCGAGAGCCCTGGCAGCCTCCACCATGACTATGAGATCAAACCAACCAAGGCTCCCCAGTAGTGGGACAACCTGACCCCAGTGCCTCCGGATTGTCGGAGTTGGGGGGTGGGGGCAAGGATAAGGATACAGCAAGGCCGGCGTGGTTCAGTGGATAGAGTGTTGGCCTGTGGACTGAAGGGTCCCGGGTTTGATTCTGGTCAAGGGCACATGCCTGGGTTGCTGGCTCCATCCCCAGTAGGGGGCATGTAGAAGGCAGGCGATCAATGATTCTCATCATTGATGTTTCTATCTCCCTCTCCCTCTCTGAAATCAATAAACATATATTTTTTTTAAAGGATAAGGATACAGCAACTTGTCACAGTGCTTAAGCTGAATCTAATGAGGGCAATTCCAGACTCTGGGACATTTTATTTTTATTTTTTTAAAATATATTGATTTCACAGAGGAAGGGAGAGGGAAAGAGAGATGGAAACATCAATCAGTGATGAGAGAAAATCATTGATTGGCTGCCTCCTACATACCCTACAATGGGATCAAGCCTGCAACCTGGGCATGTGCCCTTGACCGGAATCAAACCTGGGACCCCTCAGTCCGCAGGCTGACACTCTATCCACAGAGCCAAACTGGCTAGGGCCCTGGGACATTTTTATAAGGCAGCTGCCCTGGACTCTTCCAAGAAGACAATGTCATGAAAATTTAAAAAAAGGGTAAATTGTTCTGGATCAGAGGAGACTAGAGACATAAACCAATGGAATGTGTGTGTGGTCCTTGATTGAATCCTGGCTCCAAAAAAAAGCAAGCTTGTGAGGGCATTAGTGGAATAGTTGGAGAGATGTGGAGGTGGCTGTATCAGAGCTAAATCCGCGAGCATGTTAAAGGGTGTTGTGGTTTCTCCGGGGAATGGCAGGGTGTGTTTCAGCATCTTACTGTGGAAAGTGTATGTGCAGAAAAGGGAGGGATCAGGGGCAGCAGATGTCCACCATCAGATGTTCCAATGTCCCTGTGGATTGACAAATTTTCAAAATCCAGAGTTGGGAAGACCTGAAGAAGGACTTCTGTTGGGCCACTGAAAAGACAAGTGCAGCCCGGCCAGTGTGGTTCAGTGGTTGAGCATTGACCTATGACCCAGGAGGTCACAGTTTGATTACCGATCAGGGCACATGCCCAGGCTGTGGGCTCAATCCCCAGTGTGGGGGCGTGCAGGAGGCAGCTGATCAATAATTCTCTCTCATCATTGATGTGTCTATCTCTCCCTCTCCCTTCCTTTCTGAAATCAATAAAAAAAATAATATATATTTTTTAAATATTTTATTGATTTTTTGACAGAGAGGAAGGGAGAGGGTTAGAGAGTTAGAAACATCGATGAGATAGCCCTGACCGGTTTGGCTCAGTGGATAGAGCGCCGGCCTGCAGACTCAGGGGTCCCGGGTTTGATTCCGGCCAGGGGCATGTACCTTGGTTGCGGGCACATACCCAGTGGGGAGTGTGCAGGAGGCAGCTGATCGATGTTTCTCTTTCATTGTTGTTTCTGACTCTCTATCCCTCTCCCTTCCTCTCTTTGAAAAATCAATAAAAATATATTAAAAAAAAAAGAAACATCGATGGGAGAGAAACATCGATCAGCTGCCTCCTGCACACCCCCAACTGGGGATGTGCCCGCAACCAAGGCACATGCCCTTGACTGGAATCGAACCGGGGACCCTTCAGTCCGCAGGCCGACGCTCTATCCACTGAGCCAAACCGGTCAGGGCAATAAAAATATATATTTTTAAAAACTACATACAGGTGCTAAAAATAAAGCCTCTTTTGCAACCCAGAACTCATTGCTCAATATGAGTTTTGATACATATAAGAAGGAACATGATAAAAAAAATATGTATGTATATATTTTTTAAAAATGCAGAGAACCTATCCTTGGCTCAGATGGCCATTCCCTGCAGAGGCTTCTGTCTAGGCCAGTGGTCTGTTGCCTTGGAAGTCCCCGTAAGCACTTGTCTGGACTGGGGAAGCCAGAGACACAGCTGTGTCCGGTGTCCTCTGGACACTCCGGACTGCAGAACTGAGAGCCAGCTGGTCCATCAGAGCTCCCTGCGCCAGAGCAGAGCGTAGTTCTGCTTTCTATTTTCTCCTAGCCCCAGTATTCCTAATCAGAGTGGAGTTAGTTGAGTCATAATAGCAATTATGTAATTAAACACACCCCTGAGGCCTTACTGACAGTGAAAGGGCCTTCCCGGGGCTTCCCAGGGAGTCCCCGTGGGACCCCCGGAAAACCTGGCCTCCTTTTCCCTCCTTCTGTCCTGCCCAGATTCCTCATCAGAGCATTTGGGAAGTATGGCGAGGGAGAGATGGGAGAGACGGAAGGAAGAGACAGAGTAGAGACAGACCCGGAGAGACAGGCTCTTTGTCTGAGGCTCTGGGCTGGGAGGGGGCGGGGCGAGCGCGCCTAGGGCCCCGCCCTCCGCCACTGGCCGATCTTGCACCGCCAAGGGGCGGGGTGGGGGGGGGGTTGGGGGCAGCTGCAGCTGCTGTGGCTGTCCTCCCTCGCCTGCACCAGGCCCCTGCCCAATCGCGACTGCCCCCTGAGCGTCCTGAGTTGCTCTCCTTCGTCCCCGCTGATGATGTTCTGGAATTAGATCGAGGTGATGGCTGCACAATGGAATACAGTAAATGCCACTGAATTGTACATTTTAAAATGGTTAAGATGGTAAATGTTGTGTTAGGTATATTTTACCACAGTAAAAAAAAATAATGCTGCTCTTAACAGCCTTGCAATTCGCATGCTATTTGTCATCATTTTAGGATCTATTCTTTAGAGCAAATTTACTGGATCAGGGGTATGACGAACATTTTCAAACTTACTGACAAATTCCCTCAGGAAGATAACCATTTTACACACTGGGGTAAGGACCAGACTGAGTGTGTGATCGGGTGATGGGCTCAGCCAGGAGGAGGGGCACTGAGGGCCTGGAGGTGGCTTCTGCCCTTGGGACCTGTGGTGACTGGGCAGCGCGCGCTCTGTAGGTGTGTCAGGGGGAACCAGGCTGTCTGAAAGCCGTGACGGCCACCTGGGTCACATTTGGGCAAAGGGGTGCCTCTAAGGCTCGAGTCCCCTCTTCCTGGTGGAAGTGAAGTGATTTCCAGCCCAGCTGGGATTGGGTTGAGCTGTGGTCCATGGACCAACCCACTTGGGCCCATCCCAGCAGCAGGAATCAGCCGTGTGCGGAGAGGCCCTGAGGAGAGAGCATGAAGTCTCGGGCAAGGAAACCGGCAGGACTCGCTGCCAAAGGGCAGTTTCTAGCTAAGGCAAGAAATATGCCCAGCACGTGGCAAGGCTGGCACAGCCCACCTGGAGAGCTACAGAAGATGAGAGCCATTGGGGACTGGGTGAAGGGGGTATGTGGGACATACACATGGGCTTTCAGGCATGTGAAGTGTTGGAAGGTAAAGTGGATTTCTTGTTCCAAAAGAGGCAGGTCGTGAGTTTGCTGACAATGGGCTCATCCAGCGAGTATAGCTGTTCTTCAACCGGAAGGGCTTCTGGTGCAGCTGACCACCCCGGGTTCATGGGGAAACTCCTGGGAAGGCTGCGTGGGGCTCCTTGGGACCTGGCTTCCGCTCTGATCTGAGGACTGTCTGCTCTGGCCTAGCCTGGCCTCCCCATGCTCATCCTAGCCTTTGACTCCCGGTGGGCCCTCTCAGGTCAGAAATCGAGGTGTATTGGGAGTGTATTCTGTGAGTTCCCGAGGAACCAAATCGCGCAGCTGTGAAGCCTCACCCATGTGTTAGGTCTCCCAGGGTCCAGCCTGTGCCACGCGCTTAGCATGCTCAGCAGCCTCCCTGGGTGTTTGCTGGGCCTTTCATGGCTCCCGATGCAAAGGTGTTTGGGCAGAGCCTCAGCGAGGGTCTGCTTACCAGCGAGTGTGGTTCTTCCATCAGATGGACACACAGGTACCTGGCCTTGAGTGGCTATATGAGACAGGAGGGGGCAGGAAGTGATGAGCAGGTGCCCAGGACACCCACTCCTATTGCTCTAGTCCCCAGAAAGAAGGATGTGTGAAGGGACAGGAAAGAGTGGCAGCTGTGCGATCTGGGGTAAAAAGGCAATGGAGAGGCCCCCCCCATCCCCACCCCCCCACCCCCCAGATGAATAATTTACCAAAAGGTTAAGATGGAGACAAAGGAGGATAATGACACAGGCTGACACTTAGTGCTGAGTGGGGAGGTGGCAGGAGGGGGTGGGGGAGGGGGAGCAAAGAGCTTCTGGAGGAGAAGAGGGTTCAACACAGGGTCATACACCCACCCGCACAGCCACCAAGCCTTACCCCTCACCCATACAATCCATTCGCACCCAGACCCCCACACCCCCACTCACACCCCTACCCAGACCACACCCACCCAATCCATAAACAACCACCCCTGCACACCCTCTACCTACCCACGCACCTGCCCCTAGGCCTCCACATCTCAGCCAGAACCCCACCTATATCCCCACACCCTATTCCCACCCCCACTCACCCTCTGTCCCACTGCCAGTGACCCACCTCCTATACCGCCCACTACATAAAGCAAGAGGGGGCTCCTCCCAACTGTCCCACTGAGCCCACTCCCCGTTCCCTGAGCCCCCAGCCCCACGCTGCCCCTCCAACTGTTCTTCCAAAACTCAGGAACTCTGAACTCCCTAGGCATCTGACGGTTTTCTATATTTTTCAAATCTACAAGGACATAATCACCTAGCACAGTGGTCGGCAAGCTCATTAGTCAACAGAGCCAAATATCAACAGTACAACGATTGAAATTTCTTTTGAGAGCCAAATTTTTTAAACTTAAACTATATAGGTAGGTACATTGTTATTAATTAGGGTACTCCTAAGGCTTAGGAAGAGCCACACTCAAAGGGCCAAAGAGCCGCATGTGGCTCGCGAGCCGCAGTTTGCTGACCACAGAGGTCCTAGCAGAAAGGGAATGAAGTACCCAGGAGCCACGGGCGGCCAGGGGTCCCTGACTCCCGAGCTTTCCTAGGACACCAGGGGCTGGTCTGTCACGTTGCAGCTGGGAAGACATGATGTTACGGTTGGGTGGGGCATCTCTCTGAGGAACCCCATCCCCCTGAGACATTCAGGAGGAAGGTGGCACTGTGCGTGAGAATGAGAAGACAGGACAGCATAGCCAAGCAGAGAAGCCGGGTGCTTTGGCCCATGTGGGGCCCTGTCCATGGGTGCACACTGGGTTCCTGGGACCCGCACTCTCTATGCTGGCTGTCAGGGACTTGGCTTCTACCTGCAAACAGGCCTCCCCATCTCTTCCCCTGATTCAGGGCAGGTGGCACCTGCTCAGGGAGCCTTCCTTTACACCCCCTACCCCTGCCTAGGCTGGCCCCGAGCTTCCATAGCAGCCCCCAGTGGTCTGCCTTTGCACTTCCCTGCTGGCTGTAGCCATTTGGGGCGTCACTGCTAGTGGGTGGCCTCCCCAGGCCCAGAACAGCCCTTCCACAAGCTGCTGAGTAAATTGAAGACCCTGCCACCCCCCTGCTCCAGGGCCTGGCCCCATGGCAGGTGCTGGCTGTTTGTTTGGTCATTAGTCTTCTTCCCTCCCTGCCGAGCAGGGCCGTGAGGCTACAGCGTGGGCTGCGGGCTTCACTAGCTGGAAAGTGACCATCCCAGAGCCCAAGGCACACAGGCTGCTGCGAAAATTAGGGACTGTGCTGGGGCCAGTCTTCTACCCCCCAAGTTACCTTTAGGGCAACTTGCTCTACCCAGCTGAGACCCGCCCTGGATCTCCATCTCCCGGAAGGCCCTCTGTCCAGCCAGTATCAGCCTGCTTTTCCCCAGAGCCTACTCCAGCCCCACCTTCTCCTTGGCCCCAGAGCCTGCCACGGCCTCCTCCTTCCCTGCTCACCCCACTCCTACCACTGCGCGCATCCTGGTCTGGCTCATGACCTTGACTCACCCCCTTCGTCTTGCTGAGCCTTGGTTCCTCATCTGCCAAATAGATCATCATCAGATTTGGGCACATCAGGCGCCCAAGAAACGGCGGTAGTTGGATAAGGGCCACTTCCTTGGCCTTAGGCTGCCTTGAGATGCCACCAGGCCATGTGTGTGTGGGCCTTTTCTCTTTGGTGAGTCCCTCGCTACCTTGAGGACAGAGATCCTGTCCTTTGCATCTTCTTACTCTTCCCTGACCCTCCCGCCTGAACCCATCATGAGAGGAAGCCTCCTCTCGTACACAACAAATGTTCACTTATTGCCAAGGGGGACTTCGTAGTCTTTTGAGTTGCTCACTCTGGCCTCTGCTGCCTGAAGAGTTGAGTGGCTCCCGGGGGAGGGCTGAAGGATGTTCTAGTGCGTAGACACTGGGGCTCCCCGGCCTCCGGGGCATGGCCCAGCAATCCCCAGACAGCACTCTGTGGGGACAGGGCTGAGAAGTGGGGTTCACCTGGAAATGGGGCGCTATGAGTAAGCAGAACAGATTTCTTTTTAAAATATATATATTTTTATTGATTTCAGAAAGGAAGGGAGAGGGAGAGAGAGAAACATCAGTGATGAGAGAGAATCATTGATCGGCTGCCTCCTGCACGCCCCACACTGGGGATCGAGCCTGCAACCCAGGCATGTGCCCTGACCGGGAATTGAACTGTGACCTCCTGGTTCACAGGTTGAGCCACGCAGGCCGGACAGCAGATTTCTTGGTTGCATACATTGGGGCACTGGTCAGTGGGTTCTCATGGGGGCGTGTCTCTGCCGCAGGTGAACGGGAAGGAGCTCTCCAAGCTGTCTCAGGAGCAAACCCTGGAGGCCCTGCGTTCCTCCAAGGAGCCCCTGGTGATACAGGTGTTGAGACGCAGCCCCCGCCTCCGGGGGGAAAACTCCTGTCATGACCTGCAGCTGGTGGACAGTGGCACTCAGACTGACATCACCTTCGAGCATATCATGGCGCTGGGCAAGCTGCGCCCGCCCACCCCACCCATGGTCATCCTGGAGCCGTACGTCCTATCTGAGCTGTGAGTCGCCCTCAGGAGGGCCCCGGGCCCTGCCTCCAGAGAGGGCACGCCACCAGGGGCAGCCATCCCCACCCCACCCAGAGGCTGTGTTGCTCAGCTCTGGGCATGGCGGGGAGACCCCGACTGGCTTGCCCTCTCAGGCAGGAAGCAGGCTCCTTGGCCTCCAGAGTTGACTGTGGCACCCAAGGGCTCAGAAATCTCCAGGCCTCTAGCCTCAGGCTGAACACCAGCCGGGGAAGGGGCCAGGGGAGGTTGACAAGCAGGCTCCTCATTGTATCTACCCCCAGGGCCAAGGGAGGACCATCCTGGGATCTTGCTGCTGGAAGGTTGAGGTCCTCAGCTCCTCCTCCTCCATCCTCTCTCCTCTGCCGTCCCATCGTCTTCTGCCTCACAAGCATCACCCCTTGAATCTTCTTGCATCCTTGTCTGTCCCATCTCTCTCCCTGCTCTGAACTTCTTCCATCTCTTCGGCTTCTTTCTTTGGCTTTGGCCCACTCAGAAGAAGGGCCTCTCACCCAGGTCTGGTGGCTCATGACTGTGTGAGCGCTGACTCATTCTGCTAGTCTAAACCCCGTCTGCAGGGAGGTGGTCCTGGGATCCCCTCCACAGAGAGGTAGGCCCAGGGCTGCCGGCTGCCAAGCTTAGCTTCGGGGCAACGAGGGCCACCCTTGGAGGTAGAGTGGGCCCTTCTCTGCCCCCCAGCAGTCCTCCGGGGCCTGGATAACTCCTGGGGGCGTTGCATGAGTGGGGTCAGTGCTGGGCGGGAAGGATACCCACAGTTTGGAGAAGTCACTGCCCGCTGGCATGGTTTGAAGAGTCTGAGCTGGGGGATGGTGCGGGACAGGCTTAGGGGTCTAGGCATGCCTGCATCCTCAGTGTGAACCCCCGCACACTCCTGGTCTATGCATGGAAGCATGTAGCTCAGAAGGAGGGGGTTCTGGAAGAAGAGCCTGACCCCATCTTCCCTGAGGGTGTACCCAGAGCAGGGCTCCATGCTGAGTGCAGTGGGACTGGCCAGCCCGGGAGCTGGGGCTGGGGCAAGGTCATGAGAGGAGCAGATGGCCAGCCTGACCCCCCCCTTCTCCTGGGCAGCCCCCCCATCAGCCATGAGTATTATGACCCAGCGGAGTTCATGGAGGGCGGCCCGCAGGAGGCAGACCGTGTGGACGAGCTGGAGTATGAGGTGAGCCAGGCGGCCAGGGCAGGGCCCGCAGCCAGCCTCAGGAGCCAGTCCCAGGATGACTGTCTACAGCCCATCTCAGGCCTGGCTCCTGCTGCTTCCAGGCGGCTGGAAGGCTTGTAGTCCTTCCCGGGGTGTGGCTGGTTACTCAGGCTCACCCACCAAGTCTGGCTGAGTTGGGGAGGGCACGGGTGAGGTCACAGTCGGTTTATGTTGGTGAGTCTGTGTCCCGCACATGTCTGTGTCCTATGCGTCCTGTGCGTCTCGTGCGTATGTCTCGGGCATTTCCTGGTAAGAAACACATGCGCCATTTGGGGATGGTAAGAAAATCCTCCAAATCTGGAGGCTCAGCTCAGGTGAAGTGCTGCTGGGGGACCAGGCTGGGGCGTGCCCACCACCACCGCGTGGGTCCTTGCTCACGTATTTCCGGGGCTTTCTTCCTCTGCTTCCCCCACGCCCCCTTGTGGCAGGAGGTGGAGCTGTATAAAGCCAGCCACCGGGACAAGCTGGGCCTGATGGTTTGCTACCGCACCGATGATGAGGAGGACCTGGGCATCTACGTTGGAGAGGTATGAAGGTGGGGAATATGGCAGTGGAGTCTTCTAGAAGGCAGCAGAGCCTCATGCTGTCTTTGGTGTACTGGGACCTCAAAGCTGGACTTTGATAATGCCCATCTGTACTGCACCAGTGAGGTGAACGGACACCATGGTGGTGGGTAGTGAGGCAGGGCCTGGCATAGAGAATTCCCATAGCATCCAACCCCTTGGCCTTTGCACACTGCCCAGGGTGCTCAGGCTGCCCACAAGGACCCAGTTGCCAGGGATAAGGCCTGCTTAGCATCAGTAGTCAGTGTATGCCCAGCCTGACAGCCCTCCCCCAGCGTACATGGCCAGGGTGGGACAGTGGGCAAGGCTGAGGCAGGCTAAGGTCCCGGCCAGGCTTTGTTATTCCTCGCACGTCTTGCAGCCGCCCTCCTGGCACTCATGGGGGTCATTCTCCACCTGTCTGTGTGTCCGCAGGAGGGGGGATGACTCCCCTGTTGCCATCCACAGTCTAGCAGTATCCTAATCAAGTTAACTTTCATAGGACTATCCCACTGCTATTTTTTGAGTATGGGAAAGTATCCTAGCCTCTGACACAAAAAAGAACAGGCTTTCATGCAAAAAGGAGTGTAGGGTTGCCAGCCAGCGCATGGGCATGAGGGGGTGTTGGAAGGGGCTGGAAGGTTCGGGTCAGTAAGTTGGTGGCTCGTGCTAGGGAGAGGCGACTAGCCCCAGGCCCACTGTTCTATCCCTGCCTCCTGGAGCTTGGGAGCTCCTGGTCTGAGCTGAAGAGGGAGTGAGCGAGGAGCTTTTGGTTGGCTTTGGGGACTCCCGAAGTGAGGCTGACCTTTTCTACTCAGAGGGCACCTTAGCAGAGGTGCCAAGTGCCCACCCAGGATGTGTGTGCCTTGCAGGTGAATCCCAACAGCATTGCAGCCAAAGATGGCCGGATCCGAGAGGGAGACCGAATCGTCCAGGTGAGCGGGGCAAGCATGCCTGACTCCAGGCTCCACTGTGCCAGCTGCCCCTCCACTTCTTTTTTAAAAAATATTTTTATTGATTTCAGAGAGGAAGAGAGAGGGAGAGAGATAGAAACATCCATGATGAGAGAGAATCATTGATTGGCTGCTTCCTGCACGCACGCCCCTTATTGGGGGATTGAGCCTGCCACCTGGGCATGTGCCCTGACCGGGAATTGAACCACAACCTCCTGCTTCATAGGTCGTCACTCAACCACTGAGCCACACCGGCCGGGCTGCCCTACCACTTCTTAGCTGAACCCAGCTCAGTCCTGCTAAGAGCTTAGCTTGGTGCCAGGCAGCCTAAAATCAGGCTGGGTCTCCTCTCTGCACAGCTGCTCTGGGTGGCTCCCGTGTGCCCATGGGATCTGCTCTGGCACCTTACTAGCCTCTCCCTCTGTCCCCTAGATATGAGCACATCTGTCCCATGTTGTCCTCTGAGCATATGTGCCTTTGCACAGGCCAGGCTGTCCTCTCGCGAGGCACCTCCCACTTCTCTCCATCCTGCCAAAGCTTGGGGAGCCTGTTCCAGCCCAGGGTGCTCACCCAGGGCCCGCCCCTCAGCCAGCTCTGGCATCCCTGCTGATTGTTCCTCACCCGCCACAGATAAACGGTGTGGACGTCCAGAACCGGGAGGAGGCGGTGGCCATCCTGAGCCAGGAGGAGAACACCAACATCTCCCTGCTGGTGGCCCGGCCTGAGAGCCAGGTGTGTGTCTAGCAGGGTGTTCTGGGTCCCCTCCCATCAGGCTTTCTGTCTTAGAATCTGCTCATCTGTGTCAGGGGCACAGACATGCCAACAACCTGGCACTGATAGAGAGCTGGCAGTGTCCCAGGGCCTGTTTCCCCCTTTGGCCTATGCTGGCCAGGACCACCCCCTCTCTGAGGTTTTTAACTCTGTTGGGTATGGAACCTTGAGGCAACTGGAGGGGTGGCTGGGGAGGTTCTTAAGACAGTGGAACATCACGGGCCTGTCTCTGCAGCTGGCAAAGCGAATGAAGGACAGTGACCGCGATGACTTCCTGGATGTCTTGGGCTCAGAGAATGAGGGGAAGTTGAAATCCCCCCCTGCCCAGCAGGTGAGGAAGGAAGAAGGGCAGGTGGTGGGGAGGGCCAGCAGGAAGGGAGGGTGAGGAGGGGCTGGGCATGTGTAGGAGGTGGGCTGGACCCCAAAGCCCTTCTGATCACCCCATCCTCTTTTGGCGACCCTGCTAATGGGACCCAGACTGAGTAGGGTTCATCTTTCTACCCCAGCTCGGAAAAGAAGAGGAGCCAGGGGCCCCGGATGTGGGCCCGGGCCTGAGCAACAGCCAGGAGCTGGACAGTGGGGTGGGTCGGACTGATGAGAGCACCCGCAACGAGGAGAGCTCTGAGCACGACCTGCTGGGGGATGAGCCCCTGAGCACCACCAACACGCCCGGCACCCTGCGCAAGTTTGGCCTGCAGGGGGACGCCCTGCAGAGCCGCGACTTCCACTTCAGCATGGACTCCCTGCTGGCTGAGGGGGCTGGGCTGGGGGGTGCCGAGGTCCCGGGCCTCACCGATGAGGAGTATGAGCGCTACCGGGAGCTGCTGGAGATCAAGTGCCACCTGGAGAATGGCAACCAGCTGGGCCTCCTCTTCGCCCGCGCCTCCGGTGGCAACAGCGCCCTGGACGTCAACCGCAACGAGAGCCTGGGCCACGAGATGGCCATGCTGGAGGAGGAGCTGCGGCACCTGGAATTCAAGTGCCGCAACATCCTGCGGGCGCAGAAGATGCAGCAGCTGCGGGAGCGCTGCATGAAGGCCTGGCTGCTAGAGGAGGAGAGCGTCTACGAGCTGGGCGCCAGCGAGCCCAAGAAACGCGAGCTGCCCGACATCTCTGAGCTGCCCGAGAAGTCTGACAAGGACAGCACCAGTGCCTACAACACGGGGGAGAGCTGCCGCAGCACCCCTCTGCTCACCGAGCCGCTGCAGGAGAGCCCCCTGAGGCGGGCCGCTGCTGGCAACTCCAACTTGAATCGGACCCCCTCGGGCCCCCCTGTCGCCACCCACCCCAAGGCAGCTCCTCCACAGGGGAGCCCTGGCAAGTTCCGATCCCTCTCCCGGGATCCCGAGGTGGGCCGGAGACAGCACTCAGAGGAGCGCGTCCGCCGCAGCCCCAAGATGGGGGTCACCCTGGAGCGCGTGGGTCCCGAGGGCAGCCCTTACCTTTCCAGGCGCCACCGAGGCCAGGGCCAGGAGGGCGAGCACTACCAAAGCTGTCTGCAGCTGGCCCCTCCGCGCTGCCTGGAGGATCTGGGCCACGTCCCCTTGAGTTTGGCTGGTGGCCCTCGGGTGGGCGGAGCTGTGGCCGCAGCCAGTGAAGGGCCCCGCATGGAGTGGAAGGTCAAGGTGCGCAGCGATGGAACCCGCTATGTGGCCAAGCGGCCTGTGCGTGATCGCCTCCTAAAAGCCCGGGCCCTGAAGATCCGCGAGGAGCGCAGTGGCATGACCACGGACGACGACGCGGTCAGCGAGATGAAGATGGGCCGCTACTGGAGCAAGGAGGAGCGGAAGCAGCACCTGATCCGGGCCCGGGAGCAGCGCAAGCGGCGTGAGTTCATGATGCAGAGCCGGTTGGAGTGCCTGAGGGAACAGCAGAATGGCGACAGCAAGGCTGAGCTCAACATCATCGCCTTGAGCCACCGCAAGACCATGAAGAAGCGGAATAAGAAGATTCTAGACAACTGGATCACCATCCAGGAGATGCTGGCCCATGGCACTCGCTCAGCTGACGGCAAGCGAGTCTATAACCCTCTGCTCTCTGTCACCACCGTCTGAGCCGCCCAGATGGGAGCCAGCTGCACTATAGGGCGGGCCCTCTGCCCTTGCCCAGGTCCAGTGAGCCTCCAGGAATCCCACCCCCTCCTCTCCCTTAGAATCTAGTGTGTGTCTTTGTGCACAGGTGTGTACACACCTGTCTTTGTATTTGTGCACAGGACTTTGTTACCAGAAAGAAGCCCCCAAGGAGAATGGGCACCCCTTCCATTGTGTGTGTATGTGTGTGCGCGCCTGTGTGTGCGTGTGTGCAACACTAGCCCAGGCACATGCACGTGCACACACTCACCCCCCCCCCCCCAGCTCTCTCAGCGTGTTGAGCTGAAAAGGAGAGGTAAAGAGGATTGTCCTAAGCACAAGAGAATGTCCAGCTCCCAAGCTGAGCCGACTCTCCCCCCTGCTGGGAGCCTCCACTATTTGTAGACAAAGGCGACCCTGTTTTTGTGGTTTTTCTCCCTTTCTGTGCTTGCCAATTGTTTTTCTGTTTTGTGCACCTGCCCTGGGGGCTAGCAGCTCCTTCAGGCAGCCTGACAAAGGTGGAACCCCCCCTAGTGAGGGCTGGGAAGGAGGGGGGTGGGAGGGGGAGTAAGAGAAGGGAGGGTAGGGGTGGGAGGGAAGGGATGGGAAGGAAGGGAAGAATGGGAAGCAGCTTTCCTGCTGGCCTCCGGCTGAGGTGTGGGGACAAGGGCTTTCAAGGCTCACCCTGGAGGCTACCTCCTCTGTGACCAAGGTAGAGCCGAGACTGGGGCCTGAGGGGGCAGTATCCATCCAAGAAGAGATACCTGAGCCCAGGGCTGTGCTTGACTCCATGTGGAGTGTGGCTTCTCTTCTGAGGGTCGTGAGGGGTCCAGAAGCCAAGGCCCATGTGTAGTAGCAAAAGAGCTTTGTGACAAGACCCACATGGAGTTGAGGGAGCTGCCTGAACCCCAGCGAGAGCCATGCCAGGCCAGCTGGGCTGACTAGGGAGATGTCCTGCACCCCCACTTTGCAGGTGTGGACTGGGCAGTTCTCCAAGGCCCCTCAGCCTCAGAGAGCCTCAGATTGGAGGCAGATTGCCCATCCCTGCCCCCCACTGGCATCACAATAAAGCAAGCTGCCTTTTTATGGTGATTCCTGGCCTCCCTGTGTTTATTCTCATCGATCGGAGCTGGGAGAAGACCTGTCAGTTTGGGATGGGAGAGGGGCGCGTGCGTGCGTGCGTGCGTGCGTGCGTGCGTGCGTGCGTTGCCGGGGGTGGTCGTGAAGGGCAGGGCAGGTGAGGACTGGGGCCAATCGAAAGCTGTCTCTCGGCTTTCTTGGCATGTCACTGAGGAACCGCAAGGTTTGGTTATTTTTTTAATATATTTTTTATTGTTGATAGTATTACAGATATCTCCCGTTTCCCTCCCTTTACCCCCCTCTTCCCAGCCCCTACCCACCCTGCCTCCAAGTTTTTTTTCATTATTTCAGAGAGGAAGGGAGGGAGGGAGGAAGAGAGAAAGAGAGAGAAACATCAATGATGAGATGCCTCCTACACACACCCCACCTTGATCAAGCCCACAACCCAGGCATGTGCCCTGACTGGGAATAGAACTGACCTCCTGGTTCATAGGTCATCGCTCAACCACTAAGCCACTCTGGGCAACAGCAAGATCTTTTGATGTCAGTGTCCTGTACCTGACAGGAGCTAAGACAGGGTCACTTGAATCATTTCAAGGGTGTGACATGGCCTCAGGGTTGGGTGCACAGATGCAGGATGACAGAGGCTTGGCTCAGGCCAATACTCCTTCACCGCAGGAGCCTGAGAGAACTGGGTCCCACCCCCTCCCCCTGCTCCGGAAGAACCAGAACAGGGGTAAGGAGCTGGGAGTTTCCCAAAGGCACAAGTTACCTTCCCTATTTGGGGACCCCAGTGCGTAGCACGTAGATGATGCTGAGTAAAAGTCTAGGCCAGTGGTCGGCAAACTGCGGCTCGCGAGACACATGCGGCTCTTTGGCCCCTTGAGTGTGGCTCTTCCTAAGCCTTAGGAGTACCCTAATTAATAACAATGTACCTACCTATATAGTTTAAGTTTAAAAAATTTGGCTCTCAAAAGAAATTTCAGTTGTTGTACTGTTGATATTTGGCTCTGTTGACTAATGAGATTGCCGACCACTGGCCTAGGCCATGAGGTGGATGAATACTTGGGTGGCCACAGGGCCCTTCTGGCTCATGGACTCGCAGGGATGCAGCCAGATGCGGTTCTATTGAGTGCAGCAAACCACTAGTATCGGCTAAGAGCCAGGACCCATGCTACATGCTGGGTGAGAGCCAGGGCCCTGAAGGCTATCTCCAGGTGTGGCCTGCTCTGCATGATGCTCCCTGGAGTGGGCAGTGTGGCCATGAAGGGAGCTTCTGAACAGACTGGATGCTGCCAGCAGCTGAAATGGGCAAGGACACACTTAAATTCTCTTAAAAAATGATGTAGACCTCTCATTAACTCTGCCAATTGGCTGAGATGGGCATGAGTGTGAGGAATCTGAGTCCACGTTCCCAGAAGCCCAGTGCCCTGCTGGGAAGGCAGGTTCCCAAGCAGGCCACATCTGTCCAGCTACTGTGTTGAGCAGCTGGGAGGGAAGGCCCAACATCACACTGCAGACTGGAAGGAGTACAGGGCTTGTTGGTGAAAAGCGGTGAAGGTAGCAGAGGTGTAGGGGCATGCGATGTCCCCTTCACAGCTCAGCCCTCCAAGACCTATTGCTGAAGACTAGGTACGTAGACTCTTGTGACCCCCCGTTCCTCTAGAGGGAACATGACCCCATAGAGGAGGATGGGGCTCTCCTGCCACAGAAAATGGGGGTGGAGGGAGTGGGAGACAGAAGCCAACCATTCCCTGGGCACAGCTCTCCAGCTATTGGGAGGCAACTTTAATGGCTCCAGAGGTTCCCCATTCTTGTTCCAGCCAGGATTTACGTGGAGGCCTAGTGCTCACGGGATGTGGGCCAAGTCACCTGGGACCTGGAGTCCCTGAAAGCCAGCGCCGTGGCTCAGCTGATTCTTGGAGGTGGTGCCAGGAGGGTTGGCAGCCCTTGGCTTCTGACACCCTGGAACAGTGACTTCACATCTGGGTCCTATTGCCATCAGGCAGGGTAGTGGAGCCAGGATCAAAAAGTGCCCCTGGGTGGCACACAGCTGCCAATGTACCTTGCCTGCCTCGCCAGCACCCACCACCTCCAGCAGGTGCCCCTTAAGCTCCCTCTGCTGGTCTTTCTATGGAATCCAGAAACCCTAGCAGCCAGCAACCCTAGCCTGGCTTGGCCCTGAAAGGACTCAGCTGTACTGCTTTTGGGAGTGAGGACCCAGCTCTTCTTGAGAGCCTCCCCATTTGTCCTGTAGCCTGGAGGAGGTCCCCAGGCAGTTCCAGGTCACAAATCACTTGCCCTCCATGCCCCCAGCCCTTCCTACTGTTATGAAGGACAGAGCCAAGGCACTGAGCCCTGCCCCCTCAGGGAGGTTTGGGGCCTACCTTCCTTGCACTGTTGCCCTGTTCCTTTCCTGGAACAGGCAATGGTGATCAAGCACCAGGGTGCCAAGGGTTTGCCATATGGGCTCAATGACCCCTCGCCACGACCCCCTAGGAGGCAGTCACATCAGATCTGAGCAAACTGCCTTGGAACATGTATGTGGGAAGGACTCCCCTAGGACTTGCCATCTAGCCCCTTTGGACCCATGGGCTCTGGGCACTTCTGCAGCCATGGACGGCACCAGGGCTGAAGGTTGACCTGGAGCATGATGCAGGCACGGGCATGTGAGTCTGGTGTCTGATGGCACTGGGTGTTCAGGGGAGCGGTAAGTGAAAGGCCAAACTGGGAGAGCTGGCAATGGCTCCTCAGAAGTAGGGGTTCAGGCCATTGCTTCTTTCTGTGCCTTCTATGTGTCCCACCTGACACAGGGAGTGGGAGCACATGGAGAGGCAACGTGGAGGGGGTGGGGTGTAGCACTTAGAATGACTACACCCCAGACAGCTGCCAGGTTGATCGGCTTCAACTGTATTAGTGAAATGGCCACTCATGATGTAAGCACAAGAGTACTTCAGTATGTGGCTCATGCCCAGGGCTGCACACACAGGACCCACTGCAGGCCGTGTAGGGCTGTCTACATGTGTTGCTGACTGCTGGGTTTGGGGGAAGCCAGGCAGTTGCCGTCCCAATGGTAGGCGGTCAGAGGCCCTACCCTGGGCAAGCCCGAGGGACTGAGGGGCAGGAGAGAACAAGGCAGTCCTCTGCCAGACCACATGTGCTGGGAGGAGGGGCAAACCCATGTAGGCAACCAGGAGACAGCAGGTAGATGCTGGTCACCGGGGGCCCGAGGCAGGGAAGGCTTAGCTGGGGGCTGGGGTAGGCAAGCCTGCAACATCAAAGGGCAAAGCAAACCCATGAGACGGGAGATTCAGCCCAGCCCCCGCTCAGTGTTGCATTATCATGTGGACCAGGGGATGGTGGCTGCCCAGCCCTGACCTGTGTGGAAGGCAAGGTGCAGTGACGCAAATGAGGGGCCTCTAACTGTTTATTGAAAGAAGCACAGGGGCTGGGGGCACCGCCCTCAGGCCTGGATGTGGCTCTTGGCGTTGAAGGCCAGGTAGTAGATCACTATTCCGATGACTGCGGCCAATACCTCGGTGGAAACCCAGGGCCCGTTCCAGGTGCCCTGCAAGAAAGGAGAGCAAAGCAAGCTCAGGGGAGGGATGGGTGAGCGGGCCAGCCCCTGCCCCCCGGAAAGTATGAAGCTTGCTGAGTGCTTGCCGTTTCCCAAGCCCAGGCCAGCCTCTTCAGCCCACTCACCCGATGGTCTACGCTGACTGTGAACAGGGGTGCGATGATAGAAATGTCTTCGTTGTTTCTCTGAGCCTGCAAGGAAGGTGCTGGGGTTAGGGGTGCTGCCGGGTGGGGTGGGGTAGGAGAGACAAGAGCACTGGCTTGAGTCAGGGAAGAGGGGAGGAGAAAGATGGGTAAGGGAAAAACATAAGGTCCAAGCACAGGCGGGGCAGGTGTATAGGAAGGCACCCACCCAGCCACCCTGGTCCCTGTAAGCAAGGCCCCTAGTGGCCCAGAGCTCCAGGAAGAGGGGCTGGAGGGTGGAAGGGCTGTGGAGGCAGGGTGTGCCCCCCCTCCTGCAGGCTGGGGAGGAGCTGCAGGTGGCACTCACCTTCCTCAGGAGGCTGTAGGACTCCTCATCGAAGAATCTGACCTCATAGGTACCTGCGTGGGCATTTTTGTGATCTAGGCTCCAGGACACCTGGGTTGGGTGTTTGGCACAGGATAGGCACAATGAACACATCAGGGTCCCGCTGCCAGTGCTAACAGCACCACTGCCAGTGGCCCAAGACAAAGAACCCTGACCCTGCTCGACCAGACCACCTCTAGGGCTTCCAGTTACACCCAAGAGCAGGTGGCCTTCCCCCAAAATGACAACCATAGTATCCCTTACCTGGTAACGTCCCACGTCCTGACCCCGGGTGACAGGAAATTGTTTTCCACTGACGTCAGCATAAAGAGCCATGTTCTGGGGAGAAGACAAGGGGCGAGTCATTTTCTCCCCTATATGGCTGTTGGCA